ACACTAATGGGGCGATAGCTCAAGCCAGGGAATCAAGGTCTCATCAAGGTCCGAACTCAAATGAGAGACTGAACCACATGATTGAGAATCATGTATAATGGTGACGTCGTTATTCTCAAGGTTGCTTCTATGGATAACATATAGATATCCTTTGTTTAGGCCTACTACTCAGCCATTTATGAAATGAATTACAGAAGAGGTATCATCAATGATGACTAAGCTGATTGGCTCTAGTGCAAGTGGGAGATTGTTGGAAATGTGCCCTAAAACCAATCATATGATGATACTTTACGGACATTTCAAACTAATGTAGTTTAAATGTAAAGGGCAAACATTATTGTTTGAGTCGTCTCATATAAATGTTATATGCTTAAACGATAAGTCCAAGGAATATGTGATTGGAAGAATGCGATCTAAAGAAGTTAGATTCATGAGACCATTCTTTCGTTGACACATCCTAAACGTTCCTGATCATAGGATTGTCAATTGGGCATTAACAGTCCGTTAAGATCAGTACGTGCTATGTCTTCTCTCAGGGAGAGTGACTAGTCTCGAGTCATTGGTGTGTGTGACATCAAGACAAGTACGTAGGTGCTCAATAGAGAATGAGTTCACTGAACACGATCAACGAAGAGTTCTCATATTCATGTCACATGAGAACTCATGGTTGGGATAATGCAAATTAGTCTTTTGACCTGAGGCATCACAGTTGTCTTGTGGTTAGGTCCTTAATCTTTGATTATGTCAAAGTCACTCCATCAGGAGGGTGTCCAAGGCATCGTTGGGGTTAAGCCACTTAGCCATGGAGGCAAGTGAATGCGCAACAAGGGATCTCTAACCTTCAAACAGTTTGAGGGAGAATACTCTATGATATGATTTAGAATCTCTGGCCAGAGTATGAATGAGATGTTGGAATGCGTTCCAGATCACATTCAAGGTAATCATATAAGTACAAGATTCACATTGGATAGTAGACATGAATAAACTATCAAACCAAACAATGTGGTCAAGAGTATTGTATTAGAGAAAGACCGTATTGCATTTATAATCCTAAAACTGAATAGGTTCTCCACCTCTTCTGATTAGCTTGGGTAACCATGACATGCTGCTGATGCGAGATTTATACGCACAAATTAAACCCTCTTTTTGACAATTGTAGTATAAGTATAAGTAGGGATCGTTCTGGACCGGGGATTAGGAGGGATTGTTAATCACTTGGATTTTTGACTTAAAAACGTAAAAACAATATAAAACACTAAACTAAATTGATTTCTAACTAATTTGACAATAAAGTAAAGGGGGGATTGTGTTTGGACAATATTAAATTAAATGGAAAAATTGTAATTAAAGGCAAAACGTAAATATGAATGAGATGAAATATGGATGATGGAATAGCCAAGGGGTTCATCTCCACACATGTTATACTTGCATACAAAATTGATCCTCAGTTGGTCTTTCGATAAATTATGGAACTCGACACTCCAAGTTAATTAGGTCCGCTTAAATTAACCTTCAAATTTCCCTAGAATCATTGAATTGGATGAATATGCATCGCAAACAAATTATTCCTAACAAGTTCTCTATATGAACAGCATGATAAAGATACAAGTTAGAATCATTACGTTCTTTGGAAATTATAAGCATCGACAAGGCATTTGTAACTATGAAAAGCATGATACTCTTGCCAGGAATTCAATTAACGCGATTGTTTATAAGCAACCTCCACTACTTGTGAATATAAGTTCATAACTATTAGGTGAAATTCACTTATATTCTAGCATCATATTCATGCATGAAAATTAAGCGTGCACTCTCAATCAACATACATAAATAAGTTATCGATCAAGCAGTTAAACAAATTGAATCCACAACTTATGAAATTCCAACCAAATATAATCAATTCATATTGCAAGTATAACCATGGTTTCGAATCACCCCCTAGCTAACTAGGGGGATTTAGCCTCTCATGTTCACAAAAAGAGAATTAAAATTGAATTTAAACATAAAGCACAAAGGATTGATTACACCTAGAACGCCCAACGAATCCACGTGAATTGGTGCGCGTCGAAGCTCCTCTTTCCTCTTCTCCTTCTGCGGCAGATTGGTTAAATGGATGATTTGGATGTTATTTTGGGTTGGGGATGGATTTAGGGAGGATTGGTGGTGTAGGAAGGTGTGTAAGGTGATGTGTAGAGGTCTGGAATGGAATGCACGGATTGAGAAGGGAATAATGTCCAAGTCGTGGGTGGATGAATATGTTAGGTTTTGAAGGTGCTACGGATGGGAATTCATAATGGGAAGTCAAGGTGGCTGAATTAATAGGATAGAATATGGCTTAATGGATAATTAGTGGGATATGGTTATAATGGAGAGAATTGTGCACGGTTTGGTGGGGAATTAGAATTGTTAATGAATTAGGTTATATTGGCTACGGAGGGAAAAGAATGTGAGAATCCTCTACGGGTTTCAATGAATAATGGGATATATTGTATGTAAAATGGGATAGTGGATGTAATGCACGGATGGGATAGGATAATGGGAAGTGGTGTGGGTGGAATGGTGTATATAATAATTAGAATGGTGGGTGATGGTGCTACGGATGGAATAATAGGTTAGTGGAATGAATGGAATGGTGTGAATAATGAATGGGAAAATGGGATATAGTGGTGTAGGTGGAATGGTGGGGGGGGGGAGAAATTAGATTAGAAAAATGGCATGGTGGAGGTAATGCACGGTTTGATTAGAATTATGGAGGAATTAGGAGATAATGGAGAATAAGAAAATGGAGAATGAATGGGATTTGCGGATGTAGGTGGGAATTATCAATGGGTGGATTAAATGGAAGGCTATGGATTAAAGGGAATTAGGGTTTATGGATGATAGATAGGAATGGTGGGATGCACGGCTTAGGAGGAAGATTGTGTGATGCATTGTTTTGGACGTCCATTCCTCGTGCTCTATTTGCATACACCACATTCCAGCTCAGTTTTGCTCCAAATTGCATCATTTCATGTAATATGTCCTTTAAACCTGAAAACACATGAACGTAGCTTAAAAGACTACTTTAACGAAGAAAACATAACAAAAATGCATAAGAACTAGCTAACTAAGGCGCATAAATATTCTCCTATCAGCTGCTAGGCGTCAACCATGGTTTGTGGAAGCCCTAAAAGTGTATTATCACTAACGGGAGAATTGAAAGTAAGTTTCAATTCACAATCGATTTGAAAGAGTTTGAATCGCCCACTGCCTCGCTAAAAGGAACCTAATGGATCGTACACCGTGTAAGGTAGAGATTGAAGATTCAACGGAGATGAGTAAGAATAATTAAATGGTTTAATTATTTATGGCAAGGATTAATTAATATGATTATTAATCAAACGAATAAGTTCGTTAAAAGACATCGGGATAGTTTTGGACCTTAAGGCCCAATGGGCTTCGAACGTCAAGTCCATTGACTTAAGTTGTATGACAACTTAATGAATAATGATTCACAAAGGCCCAAATAGCCCAATAAATCCCTAAGGCCGGCCATTTAGAGAAAGAGTGGGTTTTGGACTTATTTACAAGTTTGCCACTCAAATGAATTAAGGTATAAGTGTGACTTAATAGTCAAAATTCATAAAGTGTTGTTTTTGGGGAAATTGGAGAAACACAAACTCTCCTTTCTCTCTAGAAATGGCCGGCCACCTTGAGGATAACATCTAGCAATCTTACTTCCTCAAGGTCACTCATTTCTTCTACAATATACCTTGGTGTGGAGACTTAGAGGTTCTCAATTTTGGGAACTTGGAGAAACCTTTTCATCCATCCAAATCCATGGATCTAAGATGCAAGGAATGAAGGCCCTCTCTTTGGGTGATTAGCCTTTGCTTATGCAAAGAGGAATCTACAAAGGTATTGATTTCTCAACTCACTTTGTTTTGAGTTGAGTCTTGGTTCACCTATCTACTAGGCTTTGAATTTCATGGGTAAATGTTTTGTTTTAAGTGCATACAAGCATGATTCCGCCTTTAATTGTTAATTGCATGCTATTGATGTTGCTTAAATGAACATGTTTTTTACAAATCTTCCTTCACTTGGTAACATAAATTACAAGTTGGCCTTAGATAGATGCTTTAATTTGGATCGTTTGATCTGGATCCAATGAGCTCCTCTTAAACTTGTACAAAGGCGAAATGTTAGAATCTTTATTCTTTGAGAAAGAAGAATGATTCACAAAGTTGTTGAGGTTAATTCACTTAGGTAATAGTGGTTCCACTGCATAATACTACTCATGGTTTATTACATCCATCGAGTTTTTTTCTATCTAACTAGGTTTTAATGAGGCACTCATCCTGGGCTAGTCTTACTGTTGTGAGGTTTCCTACTTGCATCCTGAAGACGTATAGTTTTGACTTAATGCAAACTTCTCATGTGTTCTTCTTAGACTATGAGTTTCTCTCTCATATTGGGTTCCACCATAATGATGTTTTGTGAGTTTTACCTTTTTATGCATTCTTTCTTTTAATTTGAAACTCTCATTCGCTCATTATGCCAACGACTTTAGCAACTAAACTTACTTCATCGATGAAGACATGATGTGCCATTTACACACCCAAGAGGGAGTGTTGCAATCCTAACCTAATTAGGAATGTGGTTGTGTAATTCTTTATGAGATTCTATTTATATTTTTTAGATAGTTCCCAAATTGTATTGTGATACTTAAAGGCTAAGGAATTTACTTTCCTACTACTATAAATAAAAGTGAGAAATTATATCTCAGAATTCACCGAATTCTCTCTATTTCATGCTACCGAATTCTCTCTGTATCATTCTCCCGGTAAATGAGACTACAACAAAATTTTATTTTTCTCTGATAAATAATTTTTACGTACTTTTTTTTACCACTCAAAATTTTTTTTTTTTTTTAATTGAAAAAACAAAAAAAAGGGCAAATATAATTAAGTAAAAACTTATATGCTAAATCCAATCTCGCACCGAAATCAACTTGGTTCTGCTTGATAAAAGCACCTTCTCCCAAAATCATGAACCACCTCCCAGTTACTCCTTACTCTCACGCGGACTATGGGGGACCGAGAACGAGACAGGGACCGGGATCGTGACCGAATTCGGGACAGAGACCGTGACCGAGAAAGACGCCGAGAGCGAGACGACCGCGACCGTGACCGCGTCCGCATCAAGAGGTCGCGTACACCCGAACGCACCAGACCACGCCACACCCGCTCCCGCACGCGCTCGCCCGACCGGTACCGCTCCCGCACTCGCTCCATCTCCCGATCTCGGTCTCCAGACGACAGGTCCCACCGGCGGCGCCAGCACCACCACCGCAGCCCCTCGCCAGAGCCACGCAAGCGCCAGCGGCGTGAGTCGACTGTAGAGGACGAGAGGGAGCGGCAGAAGGCGGTGGTTTCGGACTCCGTTGAGGGCATCTCGAAGGAGCCGAAAACTCTGCAGAAGCCGAGCAGCGATGGTGGTGGTGGTGGTGAGGGTATGGACGAGGACGAGATTGACATGATGAAGAAATTGGGGATTCCGATTGGGTTTGACTCGACAAAAGGGAAGCCAGTGGCGGGCGCAGATGTGAGTGGCGTTAGGGCGGTCACTAAGCGGCAGCCGAGACAGTATATGAATCGCCGCGGTGGATTTAATCGGCCGTTGCCTGCCGAGCGCAATCGCTAGATTACTGGTTAGGGTTTATAATCCCCTTATTTGCTGATTGAATTAGGGTTTTGGAATGTTCTTACTTCTGCTCCTTCAAGTTTAGATTATAAGTTGGATATTGTTGAGTGGTATAATGTTAGTTTATGATTTCTTTTATTCGTGTTCTGGTAATTTGAATTGGATGAATTTGAATTCTGAGCTTACTAATTTCTTGTTTTGTGGTGCAATTGACTTAAATTCATCAACCTATCTACGTTTTTGTGTATTCATCCTTTTGTCAGCTATAATCTAGAGGTATTAATGTGGGAATCAATTCGTAATTTTATGGGTTATAGCCTTCGAGGGTAAGGTTATTCATGTTTTTAGTATCGAGGGGGACGGTTCGTTTTACTTGCGAAGTGGGATGGAGGGTTTATTTATGGGCTAAACTCGTGCCCATTTGTTAACTTGTGTGGTAGAACTCTCTAGTATCTGTTTGCTAATTTTGAAGATATAGGGCTTATATTTCAATGTTTATCAAGTAGAGAGAAGAACTAGGCCTTATCAAGTAGAGATAAGAACTAGGCCTCAACATTTAGGCCTTAATACTAAAAACATCCCCAATGCAGCATCATTTGGCATTGCTAAATTTGCTCAATACAGACAGATGTATTTGAGAGTCAAGATGATTCCTTTTGGTCTGTTAGTGTGAATGGAAATTCACTTATGGAAGTCATCTCCAAGTTATCTAGATTTTTTTCTCTTCTTTTCTTCCAAAATTAAGTTCGTTTAACTGTGAATCATGTTAAGAGTCAGTATCAGAAACGGGATCATTACACATAAACGTACAGTTTGACATGGCTGAATGTTCACGTCTTTTCTGCTACCTTGTGTGAATCGATTTTTGGCTTGCTCTTTTTTATCATAAATTTTGCTTCCTGGGATATATTATATATGGTTTGTCCTTCTCCTTCCCTAACTGAACGTGATTTTTAAATACGTTAATTTTTCTTTGGTAAAGCTTTTCTTGCTTTTGGGGTCAGGCCGGGATGCTTGGATGTGTGATGTTATTGTGAATAAAATATCTTGACAATGAATACATCAAACATGTTTTGAAGGTAAGAATCAATAAATAGTTTGATGCATATATCCAGCAAAGGCTTTCAGGGCATTCCTGAAAGTGTTGTATTGAAGATTTGCAGTGCAATGTCAGGCTATTTTGTATAAGCTATGCTCTCCTATGTTATACGTTATAGATTTGTGGATGCTAGCAGAAGTGCAAAAGTTGTTCTTAGAGAGACTTGAGCAGCACTTAAACGGGATGCACCAACAAGCTGTAGGGGTGGTGTTCCTTGAACCAGAGGTAATGACTTCCCCGTGGATAATATGTAGCGTATTAGCAGCAGGTCGTTTGGTCTATTTGAAGTTGTATCCAACATGCCAAGGGGGCCAAAGCAGCGTCGTCTCATTTTGATAAGTTTATAACTTGCCGAGTATTTCATTTTTCTTCCCCTGCTCACATCCACCACGGCTCACAAGCCGGCTTCTTGTTGACGTTTTGCTTTTAGGTCTACGCACCCTCTTCTTCCGATTGATGGTAGAGCAATGGGCGGGGACTTTGGTAGAGAAATAGATGAGGTTGGGGTATTATGTTCTTTCTCCTAGGGCAAAAGCTGAAGGGGATTTTTGGAAGAAAAAAGGCACCTACTGTTGGATAATTTGTTTTGAAAAAGAAATTTTGTTGGATCTAAGAACACCAATGCCCTTGTAGTAGAGTTGTTAGAGGTACGTAATTATCGGACTGCCCTAAAAATGGACAATTTGAGCAAAGAAAGACTTGCGCACAAAATTTAACAAACATAGACCCATATAAACCACTCAAAAACAATCTAGTCTAATAAAAGTTACCTTCCACTTTGAATTAATCAAAATAATTCAGTAATATCCATCAGTGACGCACCTCAAAATTGCAAACTGACAAGCAAGAGGTGAGAAGTGCATATTTAAATAAAAACTTATATGCACCTACTGTTTATGTTGGCTTGCTTTGGTTGGGTAGAGAAGAAAGGTGAGAGGAAGAGGCACAAGGATCAAAAGATGAGCTTTTGCCGGCGGCGAGGAGGGGAGAAGGTTTGCCGGCGATTGGGTGGTCATGGGGTTGGGTGGGTCGTATAAACCTAACAGCCTCAAAAGTGTAAAAAATTATGCTTATCACAGGGGTGGCAAATGAGATTTTCTCACAACGCAACTAAACTTGGTTTTTTATTGTTAATGGCGAGTTTGAAATTAATTTGTTTTCTCAATTTTTAGTGTAAATATATTAATGTATCCAACAAGTTTGAGAGACTTGCGTAAGACAAATACGTCAAGGTAGTGTTGTCTCAAATTTATTACGATTTCACGTGTGTTTCAACTTTTTTGTATAACAATGCATGATTAGTTAAGAATACCACCATTATAGCGTCTTCATTTGCAAGTCATTCTAGTGGCCTAGGAGACGAGAAAAACTTCGATTTGATCATTAGGTCATTCAATAAGATGATGCCACATCGTCAGTTAATTATCACGTAAACCTTCATTCAGAAAATATATAAAACAACTATAGAACCGAACTATTTCTCCCACCTGATGGCAAAACTCATGCACGGTGGCGAACTAGTAGTACTGTTGTAGCGTGCTTCATAGGCACTCATTAGGGCCACAATACCTTAAATCTCACATCGGAGAAGTACGACGAAGGAAATGAGCTTTCACTACCATAAAAACTCCACAAAAACACAAAAGACAATTGCCAAAAGACGGGCGGAGTAGTCAACCTGTAACAGCTGCGGCCACTTTAAGTTGACCTCTTCAAAGTAGGCCAACAAGTACACAAGCCAAGGACATTTGATTTGGGTACCATCTCACGTGGTTAGGCAATGACCAAAGCTTTTCTCCAAAAAGACCCTCAAATAATGGAAAAAAAATAAATTCTTGAATGCCGCTCAACCAGCGCATAAATTAGTAACACCACATGATAATATTACCATCAAACAAAAAAATTTCTCCAAAAATAAAAAAACCCCGCACATCGATCTCCCTTGGCATTCTTTTTCATGTTTGCTGGTCGGATTTTATAGAAAGTAGAAACAACATATCAGTTTATATGAATGAATGAAGCCAATTTCAAACCTACATCGTAATAAGAAGAATTCTAGCAATTTTTACATCATAAGAATGGCAAATGAGGAATGGTACTAGAATTGATGATACGACATAAATAACAAATGCTAGGAGGAGAGGAGATCCACAAGTACTTATGCTTGCAAGTAACTTAATGCCAAAGCTTCATGCAGAACCCGTTTGGCACGACAGATGATTTCTTACTCGAAATACTCTCTGAGAAGGTGTCGACAAGTTGCCCTGCAAGCGATGCAGGATCTCCTATAAAGGTATCTACAAACACTTTCACAATCCTTACCTCCTGAGGGGTAGCTCTCAAGCTATACCAGGTAAGAAATTTCTGCCGGAAGTTCTGCTCGAGATGTCCCTCGCACTCTAACCATCTGATAATCTTCACGTAATACTCAAAATCCCTATCTGAGATGTTGTTTGCCACACACTCCTCATCTTTCCTTTCAGCACTTCTCTTCTTCGATGTGCTGCCATCTTGGGGTTCCTCTCCTTTCCCACTTCCATTTTTTAAATCCTTGCTACTGGAATTTGATCTTACATTCCTTCCCAGCCCATCTTTAAGTAGGTCGATTTTGCAAGGAGTGATGGGTAAGCCAGCCTCTGAGCTACCACCAAATGGGACACATTCCATTCCAGTTCGAGCAGGGGAATTTGAACCGTTATCAGTGCTGATGTCTTCGACAATATGGCCTTCTGGTGATTGCTTGTGCTCAAGTTCTATGACATCAGATTTAGATATGGAGCCAATCATCCCATTGATGTGCTCCTTGTCCAGCAACGAAATTTTATCTACTGTAGGTCCTCTGTCCATGCTGTTGCCATTGACAGCATCATTGGATAAATCAGCGGAGACAGTATTATCAGTGTCCTGGCAAAAAGTAATATAGTTGTCTGCTCGGTTATCAGCTTGATCACCATATGGAGTTATATTATTAGTTTCATCTTCCACTGAAGAAGGATTAGAAAGGCTGCTATAGTTGGTAGCTGGGCTCTGACTTCTCTGTGTCACTGAACAATTAGGGACTTCATCTTCACCAGTACTTGTGGAAAACCGAACTTCACACATGCCTAAATGTCTTGAATCATTGAACGAAGTCACTTTGAAACAGTACTCTGTAGCTGGAGTTAGTCCAGTGACAACAAATCTCGTCTTTGGTGCAAACAACAGTGTTGCAGTCGGTTCTGTTGGATAATTCATATCATCAGCCTTACAGTGCCATAATTTGTAACCAACTAAAATTTCTGAGGGAGGATATTCGGAACTCAAAACCACGGTGAGCGATGTAGCACGGACATTCTCAAATCTAATCATGTCCGGAGCAATAAAACTTGGATCTGAAATGTTTAAAAATGTACAACAGAAAACATCCATTAAAATTCCTTCCCTCTGGATAAACCAGTAAACAAGATAAAATACATCCTCTCCATTCTCCAACAACCTCATGGAATTTCTGTGATTCGATTAGGAAGTGGCGAGGACCGAAACAAAAATACCAGAAACTCAGAATCAAATGAATGAAGAGATCATATGAAACTAAGTACTTACCACAACTACATCATTGTTATTTAAATTATCATCAAAAAATATGTGGAAGCAAGTAAATTCAATGATTGTCGGGGCATGAAAATTGCAGACATTTACAGAGTTATCGAATGCATGCAAATCCAGTGATTAGGGATAGGGTGTGACAGTTACTGACAAATAGATCACCTTGTACATTAGGCTTGGCCAATGGAGGAAATGTTGCTTTCTGAAGCACCAAATCCAGTGACTCCACAGCAAATGCACAAAGTTTCTGAATCTCTGGTCCAGAAGAAAGCCTGTTAACAATACCCCGACCCATCCTTAATGGTAAGCCAGTTAGCGGACCCACTTCACCTTGAAGCTTCATCATAGCTTCATCCACAATCTCATGAAGCTCTTGATACTTTGCAGTCCCATTGAGGAGCTTATGACTTAAGGAAATACGATAGCACAGTATGTCTACCCGCCTGGTATCCTTTGCTATTACTAGCTGTTTTCGCCAGGATCTAAATACATGTAAGAACATAGGCCAATCAGATTGCTATACATGAGGAAAACGTAACATCTAAGGAAACCAGTACAAAAAATTAGTATTAATTATGTGCCTTAAGTATTTCATCATAATCATTCACTCAGAAAAGAACTAAGAACCATTTAATTGTGTTATAAGAACAGGAAATAAATGTATTAGTCAACCATTCATGATGTCTTCAAGTGCCTCACTTGTCAACAAACAATCACAAGCTTCTCTCACTTTATTTATCATAGAGAGAGAGAGCTTTTGACAAAAAGAAACAGTCTCAACTTTACACATGACTGATTAAGACAGAACTCCTAATTTTCAAACAATAGAAATAACACACGAACACCTGCATGTTGGCGTGATATATATATTTACATGCTTGCCTTGAGAGAGAGAGAGAGAGAGAGAGAGAGAGAGAGAGAGATATGTACGTATGTGTGTATGTGTGTATGTATCTACCATATCGCTTTAGCAGCAAAGACCCCCAAACCACATTTTCAAAAGCACTAAACATTCTCTTTTTTATATTACAATCAAGATCTGCAAGTTATCATGTCATGAAACCAGAATTGTAGCAGTTTCAAGTGAAAGTTATTGACCCAACAAATAGGGTAGTGCCACCATACTACCCACTCCATATCTGTGCTCACCGCTCACAGAATCTAAAGACAAGTCAACATAAGTGATGTCGGACAGTAGAAATAGATAGGAATATAGAAGAGATCCAGACTCACTTCGGCCAAAGGTGTACTGGAATCACACCAATAGAGAAATTAGAGAAATTCCGGCATCATACTGGCCTTCAGCTTCACCCTGAAGGTGCCTTGGAATCACTCAAAGGTTGCTGTGCTTCACACACAAGCCAGAAACCCAGAATTTTTTCACTAACAATCGTATTTTTACAAGCTTACAAAGTAGCCCTTTTATAGGCTAGTTGGTACATGAATCTGGAACGATCCACATAAATATAAATAGAAATTCTAAAGACTAATTTATGACACCTAATAATAATATAGTAACATAGAGAGACTCAAACACAAAGAACTTGCATACTAAACTGCACTTATTACAAAGGAAAGTAGAATGACTCTAATTTATTGATCTGCCACATGAAACTGCCATTTAGTTGCACTTTATCCCCTAAAACTGATTTCGTCTCACTTTGCCCTATGAAACTATCATTGTTGTCTCATTTAGTCTCAATTCACCCCATTTTCATCCATTTAGTCAAACAGATGTTAAATTAAACAGTAGTATGGACATATTATTTTTGATACAACTCTTTGCCTCCCACTTCCATGCTAAAACAATCCCAATTCCATGTTCGATAACTCTGATTCAAATCCTTGTCCGTCTCTCTTGCAGATTGGTGTGGAGCTGTAGTTGCAGGCATTGGCAAAAGCAAATAATGGTTTGTGTTTCAATAGCAAGTAATGGGTTGTGTTTCAAAACCTAATTCAAACCACTCATTGAAGCCAACGGCTGCAACTACAGCCCTGCATCAATCTCAAGAGAGAGAGAGAGACGGGTTTAAATTGAGTCATCGAAAATGAGTTTGGGATTGTTTTAGCAGGCAAATTAAAGGCAAAACATTGTGTCAAAAATAAAATGTGCCTACGATCCTTTAATTTAACATTTATTTGACAGAATGGACGAAAATAGGGTTAACTGAGACTAAATGAGGAAAAAATAACAGTATCGGTGCAAAGTGAGACAAAACCAGTTTCAGGGGTAAAGTGAGACTAAAGGCAAGTTTCAGGGGGCAAGTCAATTGATAAGCCTTTATTAAATTTCACTTGGCTCCACCATCAGTAACTCGTCAACTCGATCATTCTTAGGTGTTAGGAAAGTTTCACAAAAGAAATGTATAATCCTTGATATTAAATTGAGGGAATGCAGAAAGCTTCTGTTTAAGGCGTCAGGATTATGATTTGCAACACATTGATCTATGATAGGCGGGGATTTTTAGAACAGTGGATGCAATAATGAAACAAAATATTTCATTCAAAGCTGTGAACGGTCGTGTAAATTATGTTACACTCGTAGAACCAGTATAGCGAAAATAATGCCAATGTACAATATAAGTAACCAGTGTTCCTAAGATACTGCAATGAAATAAAATTCATCACCAATAAGTAACTTAAAATGTTGCAAAATTTTTATTTTTTTAGTGGAAGACTTGGTATAAACTTTGAATAGAAACATGAAATTCATCACAACTTTGAGCAGTGGTCTATAAAAATCCAAAAAATTATAAAAGAAACATGGTATAAAAAATAGTTAATAGGTAGGAAAATTTACCCAAGTAGATCATTCACTTTGCCACAAGATATACAGTAAAAGCTCCCATCCAGTCCTCTATGTCCTCTCTCTTTTCCAATACCAGAACTTTCACGTTTTAAAGCACACTCAAGGTGGCACGACATGCCACATGAATTACCCTCGAACGGCGGCTCTGAGCTGCAAACCAACCAAAGGCTCGGGTCCTTATTGTCATCAAACTTGTGACAGATGCAACACGAACACCTCTTGCAAAATGCATCTTCTCGATTTAAGGTAGCTCTGCAAGCTGAGTTTTTGCAGAATGTAGTATTGGCTAGGTCACTCCCACTACTATTGTTAGAAATACTATTCTCCGGAACATGTAGTCTAGATGGATTCTCAGTTTTCCTCTGCCTTTTAGTAGTTCTTTGGCCAGTGGCATTAGATGACTGTGGTTTAAGGTCTGTTACATCCTCACTTCCCCCTGGTTTCTTTTCAGAGACAACTTTCAGAAGGTGCTCTATTATTTTCAATTTTGTCAAGCCAGTATATTTCCTTTCTTTCCCCATTTCTGCACATAGGATCTGTAAAATCTCCTGGCGGCTCCATGACTGTAACACTTCAGAGGCACCGTCTGACCACTTTGATACTTCATAGACAAACTCTCTCTTTTTATCCATACTTAACTTGCCGTTGTTTGACTGATCAAGTCCAAGTCCTAAAGCCAAGGAGAAGGAACATATATCAGTATATAGAAAGTAGAATCGTTGAACAGAAGAAAGCAAAACCATAGATCTCTGAAAAATTCCTAAGAGAAAGGGAATGATATTGAAAGGGAAATAATGAGAAAGCTAATCAAAATTCCTAGTTACATCATATCTCCATTAGGACCATCTATTTGAATCCATAATCCATACGATTAACATATCAGTTCTCAACAATGAGGAAAAGAAACATGATATTGTTTGATCAGTAGCAAAAATCCTTAATCAACTAGCATGCACCCATATAAATTTACTAATCTCCATTGCCTGCCATTTCAGAGTCCCATTAAGAATCACCTTTCAGATTTTGATTTATGCCATGGACTGAGCTCAGTACTAAGCTGTAACATATTACCGACAATACCAAAATCATTAAAGAAAAAGGGTTTACCTTCATTTACAAAGACAGCTCAACTACACCAAATATAATAAGAATAGGATGGAACAGGCACGCATAATTGTGTACGATACATCAAGCCCACATGAATCCTTAAACTAAACACAATATTCAGTTGACTTTGGAATGCCCCTGGCTCTGCATTTTCTTAAGAGCTTTCACATGAGTCATTTGATAAGGTAGCATACCCCATTAGAAAAGAGATACCAGCTCACTTCTCCTTTAAGAAATAATATTAAGCAGCGAAAAAGACGCCACTGCATTATATCATCAGATTAAATGAAGCTGAACTCAGAAATCTACCCTTGACAATTTAACTCTCAAATGCTGAATATCATCAGTAAGAAGATGATCTAAAATCAAACATCAATCTGGAAACAATAAGCACTAAACAAAAGTCAATCATACATAACAATATAACATACGCAATTACCCGTCGATAATTATCCATAGGTACCATATCCTTCAAAACCCAGAAGCTCAAATCACAAACAAAAAGAACACCAAATTCCCAAATAATTTTTCAAATTTTTCTACATAAAAAAAACCCACAAACTTCCTGCAATCTGAGTATAACATGCATGTTCCAAACTCAGCACAGGATTCAACTTTGATCCCCCAATCAACAAAAATACCAAATCTAAACATTCACGGACCTGATGAATCAAAACCCAGAAATAATTTGAGCATAAAAAGCAAAAATGTAGAGTAAAAATAACAAAAAGGGTACCGTGAGAAGAATCCGCGGCCATAGCTATTGAAGAAGAAGCAGTGCACCCTCCACATTACCTCCAAAGAGCCCAACTTTAGTGAAGCTGCAAATCAGATGAAAAAGCAATTAGGACACACCACATATGAACAAAAAATAGTAAAAGTAAAGAAAAACAAATAAACAAAACCCAAAAGGGAAAGAAAGGAAGGAGATGGTGAAGAGAGAGAATGAGAGGGAATAGAATAATTACCCACAAAAAGACGCTTGCAATTCTGCCGCACAGCACAGTCTACGAATCCATCACTTCTCTCTCCCTCTCTACTTTTTCTTTCAGGACCCGAAGATGCAGAGGAAGGAGATTCTAGGAGGACTCTTCTTCTGCTGTTTAGTGAGAGAATGGAGAAAAAAGAGTATCAAATAAACTTATGTGAGAGAGAGAGAGAGAGAGAGAGAGTAGTGAGGCGACGGCCTTGAATTGAGGGTACGACAAGGGCAAAAGCGGCTGCATGTCATCATCTTTATCTCCTCTCTCACTCATGCGTTACTTGGTTTTTCTACATATCCTTTTCCTTTGTAAATTCAGAAAATTAGAGTTTGGTGTTGAATTTTCATTTGATTCAACCCCAAAAAATATGTGATGCTAAATTGTTACAATGCACAACATTAATATTTTTGACAAACTTTGTTAGAACTGCCGCCTTTTATTTGTTCTTAGACCTATTCCAATCTTTGAAATAAAATTCATATTTTCGGTTTTAAACATACCTCAACTTGCTCCGGTCTTTGCGCCAAATATGAATTTTAACCCAAAACTCATTTTTGGAACAAATTTAGGCTAGAATTCCTCCTAGGTTAGTGGGCTAACCCACCATGTATATGTACTTATTTTTTAGTTTAATATTTACTAGAATTTATATCAATAGTCTCTTAACTTTAACTCAATTGGGAAAAAAAAAATATAGACCAAGAGGCAAATATAGAAAATGATGAAAAAAAAAAAAAAAAGTGTAGCAATGATCCATCAACTTTAACCCAATTAGAGAAATAGGCTCTCCACTTTAACCCAATTGGAGTAATGGCCTCTCAAATTTAACCCAATCGTAGCAATGGTCTCTTAACTTTAACCCAATTGTAGTAATAGTCATTCCAACATGAGTCATTTTTCCAAAATTCTATTGGTGTTGACGAAAAAGATCATAGCACCACATTTTGATGAGTTAATGGACAAATGGTCATAAATTTTTTGTTGAGGAACCATTGCTCTAACTGAGTTAAAGTTAAGAGACCATTGCTACAATTTGTTCTTATATTTATAAATTCATTGAATCAAACGGCTAAGATCTAATATGATCAAATCCAACGGTAAAATAAAAATAAAAATCTAACTGTCCAAATTTAAATTCAACGGCTAAAATAATTATAAAAAAAAAAAAAAAAAAAATTCTTTCATGTGTTTATTATTTTTTCATAGTGTTCCAAGAGTTTCATGATGTCGGTTTAGTAATTTTTCAAATATTTATCGGAATCTAAATATTTTTAGGTTAAAACGTTCATAAAATTAAATTTGTTATATACATTGTATTTAAGTGTGATTGTGTAAATTCTAGATTAGATTTGATACTAGTTAATTTTCCCTATTGGGACTTGTATTCCATGGAGGAGAAGAATTCTTCCCTCCCTTATTACTATAAATAAAGGCATTGCGTATGGAGAATAAAACATCATCTACACAACACTACAAACACATCTCTCTCTGTGGTGAGCCCTCTCTCCCCTGTCAGATTAATATAAGCCATAACACGTTATCAGCATGCTCATACCGCTATGCTTAGGAATCTGACATGGAAGTTTTCTGCTTCAAACTAATTCATCAATATCATCTTGCAATTAGGTTCTTCCAAAACAACTGTTTTTATCTCGATATTTTCTCAGCTCTGATAACATGAACATTCACCATAATGCATGACCCAACTTTATGTTTTTTGAATTTTAGATTCTACATAAATTGTGTATGAATTATATCCATAATTGTTTAATTATGTGAATTGATTGCCATAAATTGCATTAAATATATGTCCATGCACTGATCTATATGTTGCATATACCTGAAATTATATTGAATTAATCTGAAAAATAAAAATAAAAATAAATTTCTAGGTTTTTTTTAGAACCCCGACAGTAGTGGCCTGAAGCCAAGCCGCCGTCGAGCTCTCCCTGAGCCGGGAAACCACAAGCCAAGGCCATGGGCTCCTGGTTTGGAACCCAGAAAAAAAACCGACGCCTTTAATAGCGTCTCCACCATCACAGGTGGGCCTGCAGCCCAACCTTGACCTTGGGTCCTCGTCCTAACGACCTGAAGATTGTCCCCTGACGAATTTTGGCTGAGATTCGTTTTTATTCTCATCAGATTTTTTTCAAAATTCTAACTCAATTGTTTTTAGGGTTTCTAAAACGTTGAGAATTTTTACTCTCTGTTCACACTTTTGGGTCACCAATGAACCCACGATTTTTTTACCGTGATTTTTGTGCACGACACAACAGCCTGAAGAAGTGCACCAATCTTCTTCTCTAGAAAAGTTCACCTAGCTCGCGCTAGGGTGTCTGGATCACAAACCCAAGCCAACTTACACTTGGCCTACTCTCGGTGAAGCACTAGCCCTTTGGGCTTTGGAGCTTTCCTCGACCCAACACCAACCATTTTGGCCATGGTGTTCCAGTGTCTCATCCACAGAAGAACCCAGCCCTGCATGGTTGTCCCGGTTTCCATACTCTGCGTCGCACCTGATCCCAGCCTACCGCTGATGCATCGGTACACCTACTTCGCGTTGCACCAGATCCCAGCCCATGCGTTGGTGTATCTGTGTCCACGTTGCACCGGATCTTAGCCACGCATTGGTGTATCCATGTACGCATTGCACCTGATCAAATAGGCCTCTGTCTTTGGGCTTGCTCCTACAGCCCATTTATTTTGTGATGTTGGGCCTACCTGCATGTTAGGTCCGATCCTAACCTAGTTCAATTTTTGGGCTTGGATTGCACATTCCCAATTTTCTCAGCTTACTCATGGGCTTTGGTCTATGTTTTTGGGCCCCGAGCTTAATTGTTTATTTATTTTTAGACTATTTGGGTTTCATAATTTTTCACCCACACTTTATTATAATTCAATTATAATAATATACCCTAAAAATCTATTTGCATATGTTCTTGTTGCATATTTTTGTATACATATTTGTATTTGTCTGCAGGAACATATGAACCTGAAGTTCATATTTCTTTCAAAACCTGAAGTTTTCCTTAAAAAATCAGCCATGAAAAACCTGAAGCTTTTTCATGAAACTTTAAACCAATACATGTCTATTAGAACCTGAATGTTCTACTCCTATGTGAATGGATTGATTTTTTATCCACTACACTAACCACATTCTTGTCCATTTATTTGTGATAGGGACATGTCGAATTTGAACAACTTGACTTCACCGTTTTAGATGTCTTTGGAAGAAACTACCTCAAGTGGGTCCAAGATGTGAAGCTCCACCTCATAGCAAAAAAAATTACGTCCCACCATTAAAGATGAGACGGTCAACCTGATTGGCAAAGTTGAGAAAGCCACTACAACGGTTTTCATCTGAAGACACTTTCATGATGCACTACAAATTGAGCACCTTGCTGAGGAAGATCCATGAGCACTTTAGGTTGCTTTGGCTAATAGTTTCGATCACCAAATGGCCATCTTCTTGCCTGAAGCAAGAAATGACTGACAGCATCTACGCTTCCAAGACTTTAAGTCTGTGAATGAATATAATTCTGAAGTTTGACGAATCCGATCACTTCTCAAATTTTGTAACAAAAACTTGACCGAAAGATCTTCTGGAAAATACTTATTCGACCTTCTTTGCTACCAAAATTGTCCTGCAGCAACAATATAGGGCTCAGAAGTTCACTAAGTTTTCAAATTTCATCTCTATTTTACTTTTTGCTGAAAAGCACAATTAGTTGTTGGTGAAATATCATCAAGCTCGACCTACTGGGGCGACTAATGTGCCTGAAGCACATTATAGCATAAATCAATGCCCAAAACGCCAACATAGGCGTAGAAGCCACCCCGTCAAGGTCAACAAAGCGAAGGCCCATCTAAGGGAGGAAATTGAATCTACAAACGTCCTAACCTTGCTCACAAGGCCTTAAACTTCAAGAATAAGGGCAAAGCACCTGACACCATGGATGTAGACATGTGCTATCACTGTGGTTCAAATGACCATTGGTCCCGTGTTTGTCGTGCTCCCTAGAAGGTTGTAGCTGAATATCATTCTAGTCGTAAGAAGTTTGAATCAAACTTTATACAAGTGGATGAACCGGAGAGTACCAAAATGGAGGTTTCTAACTTTCAGAAGGCTATTACCCCTATGGAAGATTAGAATCTTAGACATGCACTACTTTTAGTTGCATTTTTAGAACAATATGGCTGAATTCCACCTAGTGGCCAAACCCCCTCCTTGTTTTTTTGTTTAAGTTTGAACAATTTTCCTTTATATTTAGATTACTTGTTGGTGATTTGTTTTTTGGATATTACGTTTTTTTTAAAATTACCATCGTTGAATACTTAAATTATTTTGGATGGATATTTGTTTTTAGAACTTTTATGCATGTGACCGATTCAAATTAATTTTTATTTCTAGGGATGACTAGTGGGAAAGTTAGTTGTCTGGCAAATAGTGCAACCACGCACACCATTTTGTGTGAACGCATCTATTTCACTAACTTCATACCTAAGAATGCACCTTTGGCAACCCTCTCAGGCCCATCCAACATGATTGAAGGATACGGTAAGGCACGTATAATGTTGTCCAATGGTACAATTTTGACCATTGATGAGGCACTTTATTCTCCACATTCCAGAAAAAATGTTGTTGAGTTTCAAGGACATTAGAGATAATAATTACCATGCTGAACATATGTAGAAAATGGAGTTGAATTTCTATGCAATACTTCCTATGAATATGGCCAGAAGCATATTCTAGAAAAGATAGAGTGTTTCCCGAGTGGTCTATATATTACAACCATATGCCCTACAGAAAGCCATTATGTGGTCGGCCCTACCTTAAGGACTGTGCACGAAATTACACTTTGACATGATCGTTTGGGACACCGTAGACGAACAGCGATGCACCGTATCCTCAAATCATCACACGGGCATCCACTAACCTGAAGTTTAGGTTCAAGGAATTGTATATCAAACCTGCTCCATGGGAAAGCTTATTATTAAGTCTTCTTATGACAAGATTCGCTTGATTCTTCCTATTTTTCTACAAAGGATTCAAGGGGACATTCATGGACCAATTCAACCCTCCTTGTGGACCATTTAGATATTTTATGATTTCGGTTAATGCTTCCACACGTTGGTCACACATATGCTTGTTTCCACAAGGGCTCACCACCCTGATTATTCAATCAAATCTATTCAATTGGATAATGGTGGAGAATCATATCTAAAACTTTTAATGGCTATTGCATG